GGTGGGGGGGGAGACGGGGACGGGCGTCACGAGGCTGGTCATTGTGATCCTGAGGCAAGTGAGGGACTTGCTTTCTCTGCAGTGAAACTGAAAGAGGACTTGATTGAGTTGTCAGCTGATAGAACATTAACAATGATTTCTGAGAATAAATTACTGTAATTCTTAGCATATAATTCTGAAGGAATTCAGAGAATATGCTGTGGTAAATCTCTTTCCATTTCATCTTATTTATTTGAATGAGTGGTCTCAGCACTTATAGCTATACAAATTGCAAAATAGAGATAGAATTGATAATAAACTCAGTCTTATTCTAGCAATAGGTATTATCCATTCTGTGGATACAGGAAGCAGTTAAATTTTCATTCATCTCTTCTGAGATGTATTTCTAACAAGGTTTTAATTTTTTGTGCTTATTGTTAATATAGATTTGTAATATATTTCTGTTGCATTAATTATGTACTAGTAGTAATTGTGATAATAAGTCTGTCCAGAAGAAAATTTTTTACACTTAGAGCTTTATGGTCACATGAAATTTAAAAATTAAAACATTTATACACTTTTTTGCCTCGTAGTATAATAATCAATAAAAGACCTTCAAACATAAAACACGCTGAGAGTGGGAACATCTAAGGGATGCGGATTGGGAAGTTGGAGGAGGCAAAGGGAACATTGCCAACTTCCCAGGTGTTTAAGAATCTGATTCTGTAATTTTAAGATGGATGGTGGGTGGTTGCTCTCAAATCGCTATGATATTTAGATTCCATTGGATCCATTTAAAAGAGAAACAGTAACAGTTTTATTTTGAAATGTTAATATTTACAATATGTTAGAAATTACATCCTCTACAAGTATTTAAACTTATGATGAGAAATTTTAGATGTCAACTTGAAAATGTGCAAATAGAAACATAGTTTTAAACATTTATTTTGGGGGTTTGGTTTGAAGGCCACTGCTTTCCAACATTATCCCGTTTACTTCTCAGAAATCAGGCCCTGAGGCAGGTGCCGCCAGGCAGAGGCCCGGCCAGGCTGGACCTCTCGGACTCCGGGGCCTCTGTGTCTACTGAGAACCAGAAAGGCCTCTAGTGGGCTTGTCTGCTGGCCGCTCGCCTTCCTAACCTGGGTCTGTTAGGCCAAGGATGCTTGATAATAAGGGAAACTTGCCATTCTCTGCTCACGTAGCGTGAGAAGCCCCAGGTGAGGCCGAGGCTGGGAGGGCCGGGAGCAGGGGAAGCCCTGCTCTGTGCTAGTGCTGGGCTCAGGCGAGCGCCGGAGAGAGTGGGCAAGGGCTGTGGGACAAGATGCCCTGACTACCTGTGGTGACGGTGTTGGTTTCAGGCACCTGTCTTGAAGGGGATGGTCTGCAGGTACTCTGCCTCGGTTTCCTCCTCTGTACTGCTGTAGTGAGGACGCTGGCTGCACAGGCCCTCCTGACTCCACCATTTCAGGTGGTAACAGTTGGCCTCACTCAGCCTTTGGGGTGAGAGGCCCTCCCAGCTGTCAGGTGTGGATTGGGCAGCCTGGCCTCTCCTTGCAGCAACGTTCGGCAGTCTTTCCCGGGTGCCAGCTGTGTACCGGGCTGCAGCTGCAGGATTCACATGGGTCAAAGTGAGATTCCTTCAACTCTGCAGTCTGCAGTCCATAGCCAGAGGCCAGGGTGGGCAGGGGTCACTGGCATAGGCCCAGAGGAGGGTCCTGACCCAGCACGGTAAGCCAGGAAGGCTTCCTGGAGGAGAGGAGGGAGAGCCTGCTACTGGTGATGAGCCTCATCCACCTGATAGACCGGGAGGCAGGTCCAAGCCCACAGCCCGGGCCAGGGCTGATTCCACTCTCCAGGCTCTTCTGCTGCTCCTGGCCCGGAAACAGCTAGTTGCTAAGATGCCCGGTGCCCAGCATGGCCCAGCCGTCACTGCCCCTCCACCCAGTGAGCCTTTGTTGGAAGGAGGAGACATTCTTTGGCCATTTGGGTCACCTGTGGCCTAGGGGGGCAGTGAGGTGGGGCTCTGCTGAGGGCCGGGAGGAGGCCTGTATCAGCCACACAGGGCGTGTGCCCGGTAG